CAACGTTTATATATGATGTATTTGCAGTAGAATAATACCTCCTGCAGGTCTTGCTACATGGTTTTTCCCTCCCTGCAGCTGGCTCTGGCTCTAAGTTGTGTGATGGGGCTGGTCATGTTTGCACGTTACTGTGGAGAGGACCACTCTGACAAGCTGGCCAGTTCTTCACGGGATGCAGTGAGTTGCACTGTGCTGTGTAATGTTTTTAGTGTTCCCATCCATCCATCCATCCATCCATCATGAATATTGCATAACTGTCATACTCTTCTCTGGAGTAAACAAAATCTGAAGTGAAATATGAAGGATGATCAAAAATATTCATGCCGAATTAAACAAAGTACCCCTGAGAGCACAAAAAAAACCCAGCATTGGTATTTGCATATTTTATAGTGATACCTTTCATTACATTCGACTTATGTCTCTCTAGTGTGTTTTGGACATCAGAGATGATACAATATGTGTTTTGTTCCTGGCAAATTATACATTTATGCAAATCAAACTGAAGGTACCAGGAAGATATGTTTATAGTTTGTTTCCCACAGATGGTGATATATTTTGTGATGGATATGCTGCACGGTCTGCCTGGGCTGCCTGGACTCTTCATTGCTTGTTTATTCAGTGCAGCCCTCAGGTACGGGACTTTCCACAGTTTCTGCAGAGACAGAATAATTTTTACTACCAATCCTCTTTCCACAGTATTTCATCCCTCAGCAGACAAAGTTAAGATAAGGCTGAGATGGTTTGGACGTGTGCAGAGAAGCGATATATGCTGGACAAAAGATGTTGATGGTGGAGCTGCCAGGCAGGAAGAAAGGAGGAAGACCACAGAAAAGATTATGGATGTACTGACGGAGGACATACACAGGGTTGGTGTGACAGAGGAGGATGTTAGAGATAGTGTGAGATGGAGGCAGATGATCCACTGTGGCGACCTTTAAAGGGAGCAGGCAGGAGAAGAGGAAGACTGATACCCAGTAGCTATGTCATGTTGTACCAGCTCTAGTTTTATTTTAAGCAGATATAATAAAGCGGTGTAAATATTCTTTTTTTTACTCTCAGCTATAAGGATAATAAACTTAATGTCACTTTGCACATTTAGTGGACCGCTTTAGTGCATTCAATAATATAAAGGCCTTAAAGTTCAAAGGTTTTTCTATGAAGCTGACATTTTCTTTTTGCCCAACTGCAGGTTATCTATATGGGAGTTTGTGTGTATACTCCTGCCTTTGCACTAAATGCAGGTAAGAAGAGGTCATTTATTTATTTATTTATTTATTTATTTTTTACTTTCTCATTGAACTTAACTAAATAATTCTTGTAGTTCAGTGGGTTGCTATCTGTCTCTGTTTTTGCAGTCACTGGGTTTGAACTATGGGGAACAGTGCTGGCCACTGGACTAGTGTGCATGTTGTACACAACACTGGTGAGTTACATCACAGGCTCAGTTTGAATCAGCCATCTACAAGGGCTTTGAATAAATTGAGAGTGATTTTATTGAGCTTAACCTGATAGGAATGACTTGCTCTTCTGTCAACACTGCCTTTGCTACTCTATAAAAATAACTTGCAAGAATTAACAAAAAACCTGCAAAAAATACCCATAAATATTTTTTTAGTAGGGTCTTTATTTTTGAGTAGCAGTTGAATACTTCTTGATTCACATATGTAGCCCTTTAATGCTTTCGGTGCCTTTTTGTCTCAGGGTGGTTTGAAGGCCGTCATCTGGACAGACGTCTTTCAGACTGTTGTGATGTTTGCAGGGCAGCTGGCTGTCATTGTGGTGGGAGTGCAGAAGACTGGAGGAGTGGCTGATGTTTGGAGGAAAGTCTGGGAGGGAAACCGCATCTCTGGTCTCGAGTGCGTTTGAAGTTTGCCTTAATGGAAACAACTCTTTATAGAGTTTTCATATGAATATGTAAAATATGCAGGCAAGGGGCATGATATTTGATACTGAAAGCTTTCTGGGGTGTACAACACTGAGCACACATTAGTTGCATGCAGATGAAGATGGGGGGAAAAATAAAATACACGGCATATATATCCAGATGATAGTCAAATACATCGCATACTCCAATAAAACTGTCGTTATTTTTCGTACCGGCAACCACACGAAACTTCCTTCTTTCTAACAGTCTTTCAAACAGCTGCAGAATTAAAGCACTCTGAAATCTAATGCTTTGTTTTGTTGTAGCTCGTACATTTAAAAACCACAGTGCGGTTTTTCTGGTGAGAAATTAGGTTTGCATTTGGTTATTAAAATTTATCTGCATTCTAAACAA